GAAGACGTAAAACCTACTATGAAGGATCTTACCTACTTCGGGACATTTCATTCACTCTTATTCTTTCTGAGATGAGCTAACCTTTTCCAGTGACCGTAGGTGTCTTCTGAGAAGAAAACAGCAGTTTTGTGAATCTATGAAAATATTCCTGGAATAAAGTAGCGCTATAATTTAAAAAAAGTTGAAGATTTCTTATCATACTGAAACTTTTTAAATTCCTGAAATGAAGGAAAAGGAGGTAAGGTACTACTTTTATATTCCTCTGAAATGCTGTAAAATCTTTTCTTGCTCTTTCTCTTTAGCTTTGTCTCTGTTTTCTAAAAACAGATTTTTTTTTCAGGAGCTTCTCTTGAGGTCTCCGGTTGAGACAATGTACCAGGAACCTAGTTTCCTACCCTTGTTCTCTGACAGCGAGCAATGCCATTGTTTCATCTCCTTTTAGCAGAAGTCATAGAAATGCTGGATTTTTTTTCAAAGCTATTACATAATTTCCCCAAATAACTAAACACCAACTTTTATTATTTGATAGTGCTCTTTAGATAAATTGTTATAAAATTTGGGAAGCAAATTTCATGACCAAATTTTGCTAGGAATCAGCATTAAGGTTATTACATCATATTCTTTATCTTTTCAGCCTTTATCTCATGCATTTTTTTTATCCCAGTTCCCACCCCTCCACATATACTATGACCTTTTGCACACACCTTTATTTTAAACATTCTAAACAAGCTCTCTACAAATATGAGAAGACAGCCTCTGTGAAGGAAAACGCCCTTACAGCACAGAACAGCACACAGAACTGGGAATCCACGCTTTCCAAAGTAAAGAGAGAGGCGGGGGGATGTGTAGAGGCGCCCACTCTAAATTTCAGTGGCGTTTGCCGTTCACTTCTCGTCGTCTCTCTGTGTGTCCCTTAGTGGATAGATACCCGTCTTTCATTTGTGGGGAAGTATTCACCCCCACCTTCTGATTCAGCCTCCTCAGAACTGTCTCAAATACAAGTGTATACTCAGCAAATGCCTCCCATTCTTTTTTTTTTTTTTTGGTCAAAACATGGGTTATTTTTCCAAAATTGTTAAATCTGAATGTAATATTATTCCAGGACTATAGGAACCAAATTTTTATATTTTGTATTTTGTGTGTTTATTTATTTACTCTGTGTGTGTGTGTGTGTGTGTGTGTGTGTAACGGGGCGGGAGCTTGAAATACAAAGGAGCTGGAGAACCTGTCTCTCAAAGAAGGACCTACTTTAGTGAATCTATTTGAGTCATGTTCTTTTTTTTTTAAGCCCAATAAGTCATATTTTTCCGGTTAATTTTGGAATTTACTTTTTTGTTCTGCCTGGGTGAGTGCTACTCACCCTTCCAGGTTTGGCTGAAACTCCAGCCCTTGGCAAGAGGGGATGAACACCACTGACACTCGAGTCCTCTCTTCTGAAGCCTTTGTTACGGTTATTTATATCCTGATATTATTTTGTGTCCAAGCTCCTTGAAGACAGTGACTATGTCTTTCTCACTGGTTTCTCCTGTTCGGGGAGGCAGTGGGACACTGTGAGCGAGGGTGAGGGCTTGCAGTGTGGACAGACACAGGTCTGAAGCCTGCTCTGCACTTTCAAGCTTCTCCTTGGACCCGTGATGGCTTGATAGCTGGAAGATGGTAAGAGGAATCAATGAAGTGGTCCACAGTGTTTGTGACATAAAATGGTCAATAAACTAGTATTACTCTCGTCCTCTCTCTTACAGCACCCATCCTTGGGCTAGCATGTAACAGATGTGAGGCAGATTTATATGGAGTGAATAAATGGCTGAAGGAATAGAACTTTAATCTATTATACGTCCTTAACAGATACAATTTACAGTTTCTGTGTCCCAACATGCTTGTCATCGTGTCCGTGGAATCCCAAAACTATATATAATATTTTAGAAACATTCTTTGCTATTTCTGAATTCAAGAATCATTCTTTCTCTTTTATTTGGTTTCAGATAGTCTATGACTTGATTTGACTTTTATTTGCATTTATGCCAAGAGTTAAACAAACAGATGCTTTCTGCATTCTACCCTGGATCACCCACCGTTTCCTCCCTGGCTGTCTTCTGTACTGGTCCCAGCTTCCACTAGGCCCTGGCCCTTGTGATGGTTATGTTGGCCTTCTTCCAAGTGGAGGCTTCTAATTTTGGAGTCAAAACACTGGAAGAACAAACCACAGATGTGCATTGAAATATGCACAGTATGGGTACAGAGCCATTTCTAAGAGTTATAATAAGAAAAGGTCTTTAACCTAAAGATGTTGTTTGAAAACAACATAGTTCCCTTATGTTTTCTTTGTCTAGTCTGAGAACACCACCTTATTTTTCCTACATCACACTGGGATTTGAAAAAACAAAAAATATTTTATCAAAACTTTTATTTTCCAAGTGTAGTCCACATCTCTCCTACATTTATAGGTCATAATAGATTCTAAATATTATTTTCAACTCAAAACAAGCTTTTGTTTCTGTATTATATAATGCAGACTGTTTTTTGCACTTTCTAATTCAATTAGCCTAATAAGGATACTTAATAAAAAACCTTTCTCCAAAAGAAGATCAGAAACTTCACCATCACTAGAGCCTAGACTTTTATCAAGGCCAAAATTATGTCTGTCCCATAACAGTTGGTCACTTTGGAGTCACACAAATCTGATTTCAAGCAGAAATTCTGACCGTTGGTAGTCATTTATTCTTGAGCAAGTAGAGAAATATGTATTTTCTGTGTCCTATAGCTGCAGTAAAGTTAAAGAAAAAAAGTAAGTACAGGGCTTGTTTGATAAATTTGTCTAATGTAGATGCTCTAAATAGATATTTAAGGGGAGAAAACACTTTTTAAAGTAAGATTTAAAATCTAAATTGTAGGTTACTGCTACTTTTATAATGTCCATTTGGCAAGGAAGCTAGGGCCACCTTGGTTTCCAAGCTAACGTTGAAACTGGTCTGAACCCCCTCCCAGGGTTCTAAGGATCCTTGCGGGGAGAAGCGGCTGGGGCGGCCCGGAGCGGAGGCCTGGGCCTTCCTCCTGCCTTCGGCCTCGCATTTCCTGGCTTCTCCACTTCTGCTCTCTTTTCCCTTCTGCACGTTCTGACTCCTTTCCCTGTTGTATTGCCTCCTCGACATCACCAAGACTTTATTTCCCAAGTGTTAACTTAAGGACGTGCATTAGCCGACTTTATTAAAATATTAAAAATACAGGACAAGGAAAGGGGAAATTACACAGTAGCCAGAAATAACTTGAAATTGAGTACTATGACATAAAGGTGAGTTTTCTGCTCTTAAAAGTTCCACCTGCCATTTTGCCCACGAAGAGTTTTATTTCATCTTCTAGGTTGTCGGTTACCTGCCCCACAGTGGGGTCCCCTCTCCTCTGGCAGCCCTCCAGCCCCGCCTTACTTACCTGGAGACCCCAGCAGCCCCGCCTCCCTCTGGCTTCCTCTGCAGAGCCACTGGCTCTCCCCTCCCCTTCGTCACCACAGCCATTCAAGGTGGCCCCCACAGGGCTTCATCTTCTAATATATGCCACTAGGCAGTGGTCTTCTTTCTAATTTCTTTTCTTTTTTTTATTAACCCAAGTTAAACAAGTTAAACAGTCTAAAAGAATTTCAGATCCCCTCGTACATTGTAAAAGCAATGTCCTAAAGTTTGTTATCCTGTGTTTCAATACCGTCCCTGCTTTCAGCTATCAGAGAGTATTTTACATCTCAGAATGGTTTCCTTGCCTGCACGGTATGCCAGTTAGCTGCGTGCTGGTCCCCGACCTCCTAGGCTATATTGCAAGGACGCCATCGTTTTTGTAACCCTGGTGGAGCTGGACTCGACTCCAGGCTCTCACTCGCTGCTCAACAATCTGTCAAGTTAAATGGAGTGTGTGGACGCCCCTGTGGGGCTTAATAGAACCAGAGCTCAAAAACCCTGGTTCCCAGACTCCACTAACCAAAAGCATTTGCTCTGACTCCTCAGGAATTCCGCACGTATTGACAGCGAAGGTTTCCCAGGCAGCACTCACCCAGCCCTCTCCTGCGGGACGGGCTGCGCTTAGAACGAGCCTCACCCAGCGCGACAAGAAACGAGGCAGGGGACCCACATTCCACTCTTACCTCCTCGTTCCCAGTGCAGTTGGGAAGCAAATGTGAAAGCTGGTTTCATTAAACTGACAATGCTGTTGACTTTTATTAAGCAAAAACTGTCGAAAGCAAATTGAAAGCTGAGTTGTTTTAAGTCATTTTCAAAATGTAAACATTTTACTTGAAATATCATCAGTTAAACTGTCTAATTTGACCCTAGGCCCTGACCATACTTTGGTCCATAAAAAGATCAGCCACATTGCTTCTTCAAGGGCCTTCAATCTAAATATTAGCCAAAGTATGCAGCTTGCAGTAGAGACATTTAATGCACTCGTGTTGAGAGAGTGCATCACTCTCTGTGAAATACACGGGTCCCACCCCCACTTCCCTAATACTCTTTTTGGGCCTTCTGAAATGTATGGTTAAAAATCAAAAGCAAAAACAAAAACAAATCAGCAGGGAAGAGATAGAAGAAGGAAGTCAGGTGGCTTCTCAGATCTTTTACTTTGTATTTTGATGCCAGTCTATTTTTTTTTGTTTTTGCTCTTTCCTTAAGTGGAATGAGAATGTTACCAAGAAAGAATGAGTAAAAACCAAACACCTTTCTGACAGGGACTACCTCGGCTGTTTGTTAGCCACAGGACTGTGAGAACCGAGGTTGGATGCCAATCCATCACGTTACAGTCATCAACCCTGGTTTAGATTTTTATGCCATACATTGCATCTTGGTATGGAGAACATGATAAAAAAAGAGGCAATAAATGACTAAACTCACTATGCAAACGTAACAGTAATAGTAACACTTGATGCCAGAGGCAGTATTTAACCAATATTGATGAACTTACATAAAATCACTTCCTGGACTCCTTAAGTCCATCTCTTTTTTTTATTATTATTCTCTTTGCAGGTAAAGAAAAGATTGAAGTGTCTGAGGATGACTTGAAGAAACTCCCTCTAATTAAATGGTGCATTTTGGAAACCATTCGTTTAAGAGCCCCTGGTGTCATTACTAGAAAAGTGACGAAGCCCATTGAAATTTTGGTGAGCTTGGTTTTGTCTTAAAATAATGAACTTTGTAGAAAAAAAAATAGTAGATATGTTGCCTACTTATTGTTAGATGGTTTCTTTAGTTCCATTAAGAACTAAGTGACCCTGGTACAGGTTACTAATAAGAGTTGTGCAGCAACATTTTGCTAATATAAATATTTACCTGTTGGCAATGATTTTAGCTAAAACATAACTGTTTCAAGAACTTTTTGGCTATGTGATTCTTTATCAGAATTACTATAATCCTGTGTCCATTGAGCAGGTGGGTTGGGTAGCCTGTTCTCTGCTGAACCAGCCAGGGAATATTCCTGAGCTGGAACAGCTTGAGGAGTTGAGGGTGTGAGGGAAATCCTTTAGGATAACTGGAAGGCAGTTTCAGGCCACAGATCACAGATGCAGGAACAGACAGCAGGAATGCCGTGGATAATAGTGACCGACATTAGTAATTAGCACCTGAGCTAAGGGATCGAGGTTCTTTCCATGGGCAAAGTAGGAGAATGTTCACACGTGCACCATGAAAGGTATGTGCACATAGCAGACACCCAGTTCAATATTTGGTGAATCAATCAGGCAGAACAAATATCTTTTTTCTTTAGAATGATTGACTTGGGGCCTGAATTATCCGGATAGACTGCATTTAGTCAGCCCTCCACTCTTGTTAGCCTTGTTGTTGTTGTTGTTAGCTTTTTTAATATACACCTTGAAAACACTTGGATTTAAATCAAGAAAATTTTGTAGTAGTGGAACGCAAAAGAGGCAAAAAAAAAAAATCCAAATTTTATACAAGTTGCAACTTGCTAAACCCAAAGGAAACATGGTTTATTTGATTGATCCTATGTAAATTGTAGCATTCAGTTTCTGTGGGATTTTTACAGTTTTTGCTTTTAAATAATCAAATTATTAATTACTTTAAACTATGAGTATAAAAGAGTATAAATATATGTATTCTATATTGAGAGGAAATAGACAACTTGGGGCAGTTAAGTAGAGCAATGCGTTTATTACTCTGAATTTTTCTATATTTGTCATTGAACTTTATTAAGCTTTATGTGTATTCTGGCTAGTAAATTAATTAGCTGAATGGCAGAATAGTTATTTGTCTGACAAATAAGTGGGTCTTTTGATTGCTATTTTAAACATACAGGTCCTATACAAGTTTTGTTAGGTTTATACCTATATATTTCAGTTATTTTGGAGTTCTTGTAAATGGTGTTTCTGGAAACATTGATTCTCCATTGTACGTTACTTGTCTGCAGGAATACAGTTGATTTTTGTGTGTTGATCTTGTATCCGAAACTTTACTAAATCCACTTACTGGTCCTAAGAGTGGTGTTGTAGATTCCTTGGGAGTTTCTGTGTAGACAATATTTTGATTTCTTCCTCTCCTATCTATCTACATACCTTTCGTTTCTTTTTACTGCCTTATTGCACTTGGCTCTAACTTACCGCATTATGTTGAATAATGTTGGTGACAGCAGGTATCCTTCCCTTGTTCCTGATCTTAAGGGGAAAGCATGTAGTCTTTCCCCATTACGTATGATGTGAGCTATAGGTTTTTGGAGATGCTCCTTATCAAGTTGAGGAAAGTTCCCTCTATTTCTAATTTCCTGAGAATTTAAATCATAAATGGACGTTGGCTTTTATCCAGTGCTTTTTCTGCATCAGTTGATATAATCATACTTTTTTTCTTCTTCAACCTTTTCATGTGGTGGGTTACATTTACTGAGCTTTGAGTGTTGAACCAACCTCTCATACCTGGTATAAATCTCTTTGATGATGGTATATAATTCTTTCTATATGCTGTTAGATTAACTTTGCTACTATTTTGTTGATCTGTTATTTAGTAATAGATCCCAAGTCATTTTCTGTGTCAATAAAAGACATCTACAGCATTTTGAATTGCAGTGTAATCTAATGTATGGACCTAGAGTGAATCCATATACGTATTCAAGAACAGGGAACTGTTATAAACAGTGCAAAGATGGACATTCCTACAGCTAAGTATTTGTGCACATTACCGATTATTTTCCTTAGTATAAATTTATATAACTTGGTTCTTTTAAGCTTCAGGTATTGTCTAAAACAGGTGGAATGTCTCTGCTGAATATATGAACATGTTCCCAGGAATCTGGATGATGGAAGACATTTCAGATGGGATCATCTCTGTCAAGTAGGGGCAGAGGCTCACATTTTCTGTCCTGCGGGCCAGCTGGTCAGGGTTCCTTGCTGTGGGCGCTGAAGTATTCACTGCTCTTCCCTAGTGGAGTCTGAGCAGGTCCGATTTTTGCTCCTGTAACCATTACTTTCTTTTTTTTTTTCTGAATAAGTGAAAATGGTCAAACACTGTCTGCTTTCTTTGATTTGCTCTATTCCAAGAGCAAAGAGGAAAAAAAAAATTTTTAAGTGTTGGAAAATATGAATAATTAAGAAATTTTAATTATCTTCTCAAGGTATTAAAATATGCAGTAAAACTACACTAATTAAAGTGGCATATACTGGTGTCAGACCAGTATGTTTAAAAATAATAATAACGACAACAAAAAACTAAAACTACCCTTACTAGGTAAAGCACCAGAGGGAAGTCTGGCCAGTTGATGGCTGTCTTTTGTTGTCTGCACTCTGGTTGTTTTCCTTTCTAGTTTTATCTATTTTTCTGAATTTTCCAAAATTTCTAGGGAGCAGTTTTTAATCACACGAAAGAGTATACTTTTAATTTTTAAAATACTTTTTTTTTTTTAGCAACTAATACCAACCAAGCTCCTGACCAAGGTTAGAAAGAAAGTGTTCTTTGGGGCTCCTCTGATTGATACGTTACCTTTACAGAATTCCTCTTTTCTCAAGAGTCTGCATTCTTTGCACCCACTTCGGTCTTAGCATCCTTCTTGAGTCACAGCAGAGACTCCTTCTCGCCCCTCTCAGAGAGCCCATCTCCAGACTAGCAGACGAAGCTCATCTGGCCTCACAGCATCCCCGTGTGGTGGGCTGGCCAGGTTTGCCTCTGTCTACCTGGCAGGTGCGGTTATGGCGAGACAGAGTTGTGACTTCCCCTTGCTGCGATCTGTGTCCCTGTACTCTGTTTTGTCTCCCTCTTGGGCTTTCTCTTCATCTGCCATGTTAACAACGACAGGGCTGTTTGAAGTGGGCGTGATAATGTCCGTTTGCTCAGAGGGTTCCTTTGATACAACCAGCTTTCACATTCTTTTCTGCAGCTCATCAGCCTGGCTTTTGCTGCTGCAACGGGGACTTCTGTCTGGTCTTCTCCCTGTTGTTAATGTGAACACTCTTACTGAGGCCTCCTTTTAAGTCTTCCTGTACTAGCCTGTTTTGTAGGAGGGACCATCAGCATCTCCACATCATGATCATAGGTCAGCAGCCACCGAAGAGGGCTGTCAAGGGGAGGGGAAGGGCAGCAGCTGCCTGGATTGGACGCATACCCCACGGCTGCCCCCAAACCCATCAGGGCCCTCCCCAGCTGATTTCAGAGCCAGTCCTGATCCCTCTAAGCCTCAGTTCCAGCAGAGCTAGAGCAAAACTGGGCTCTCACAGGTCTCTTTCTGCTTTCAAAACGGTAAGAAGGTACAAGCACAAGCCTCCGTCTCTCCCCGTTTTGATCTGACCCTCTCCAGCCATCCTGGTACTCAGCTCCCATTGGAGCCAACAGGGCTTCTCTTGGGTTAAAAGCACGATGAATCCCTCCCTCCCCACACTCCACTCGCTGCTCCTGTAAAAAGACATGGTTTTAATTGCAAGGTGCCAACGTTCTAGATACATCGACATGAAGTAAGTATTTTGCAGACAGCTGGAGGACACTTCACAGTTATGCAGGGTGAAACAGGTGTGCCTTCTGATGATCGCCAATGGGAGTTACTAATAAAATGTCTTCACCTTGGTGAAGTTGGTCGCTCTCTGGCGATCTCACGCAGTGGGTGGGTGCTTTGTCCTCTGGTTCCTGAACAGGGTGATGCCAGGGTGATTTTGTGAGGTGGTTTTTAGTTCCTGGTTGTGGTTTGAAAACCTGTTACAACGTGAATGGAGAAGGACCACGCAGACATATGGTCTGGCATCAGCTTCACAACCACCGCGTCCTCAAACATGAAACCAACCCAATAAACACACAACACCTGCTTTGTCCTACATCTTTCTAACCAGTTGTCTTCATAGTCTTCCTGCCCTAACTAACAACTCCTGCTAGAGCAGAACAAACAAACAGAGTCTCCTGCTCCTTCCCTGACGCTCTGTCAGTGTCCCCAAGGACGGGACACCCCCCGCCCCTGTTCTCTGTGCCAGTGTGGCCGGTGTCCTGTCTCAGAGTTAGAGTCTTCTGTTCCCGAACCTGGAAATCCACTGTGGTTTCCATCCTCAGGAGCACTTGCTGCAAACCCCAATATCGAGCATCAAAAGCTGCCATAGAGTGGAATTAAAGCAGTTTCTAAAAATTTCACAATTACCTAATATTTTCCCCCCTTTCGCCCCATGTAACCACAGATAATGTACATGTAACTGATCAGCATTAATAATCAGTCATTGCCTATGTTGGAAAAGCTCCAGGGAGGAGGTTTTCTCACCATTGATTATACACATACGTCTTCTCTGTAGTATAGATGTAGCACTGTTTTTAATGATGCAAAATCTCTTTAAAGCAGATTTCAAAAAATGACTGCGAACCGATTTTTTCTGTCACAGAATTACACGGTGCCTCCTGGTGACCTGTTGATGTTGTCTCCGTTTTGGGTACATAGAAATCCAAAGTATTTTCCCGAACCGGAACTGTTCAAACCTGTAAGTTATCTCTTTCCATACACGCTGTCCTTGGGTTTTTCTCTTTCCACCCGGAGTATGGATTCATAAGTTAGCTAGGGCTGTCTCATTAAGTGGCCAGGTTTCTCTCGTACCTAAGGCTACAAAGCACAGATAAGATTTGCAATATAGATGCTATAACGTTGCCACATCAGGTAGAAAAAGTCTTTGGAATAAGCTTCACCAACTTTTTAAAGTAAATTTTTGTGGGAAACCAGCAGGACATGTGAAAGTAAATGTGCTTCGTTCTGATAGAAGGCTTACTTCATGTTCCTTAGGCATTTGGTTTCCATGGAGTCCAAAAAATAAAAATGAAGCAAATGAAAACTGTGTCCTACTGTTTCTTGGAATTAGGGAGTTACAGGGCTAAATAGAATCTTAAAAGGTCGTTTAGTCCATCCTCTGCCTTTAGGTAGAACTGTCGAAACTGGCATCCAGATGTATTCATTGTGCAAACCAAGCTTTCTCCAACAGGCAGGGCTGTCAGTGTCCTGTTACAAAATTTATTACCAAGGGCAATTTTGTGATGGAGCCCGAGGCCTTATTATAAATATTCTTCCTCTTCTGAGGTCCATTCTGTGGTTGATTTACATTATCACCTACTTTTGCCACTTAAGAAAATTCTTGTTAAACTTTCTTACTTATGAGTTCACGTTCCCAAAACATAATTGTGGCTGATATTAATAACAGGTTGGAAAAAATTACCAACAACCCTGCAACTTTATATGCAAGGATTAGCTGTCCAGGTCATTTTTAGCCTAGAGAAATAAAGTTAAGCTTATTTATATAAGGCTGATTTGGGGGAAAAAAATGCTTTCTTCCCACAGGAACGTTGGAAAAAGGCAACTTTAGAGAAGCGCGCTTTCTTGGACTGCTTCGTGGCGTTCGGGAGCGGGAAGTACCAATGTCCTGGAAGGTCAGTGAGGCAGCTGGGCCCCGTTTATCCAGAAGGTCCACAGAAAGATGAGGGCTCAGAGGGGGAGAGCTTAGGCTGAATCCCTCCAAACAGCAGGGGATCGAGGAGTCCACGCTCTGTGCGGGTGGCCTGTCGTGGTGTGCGATGTCTCTGGGGGGATGTCTAAAGTGGCTTCTGATAGGAGACCTCCTGAGAAGACAATGTCACAGTTGCAGCGGCCACATGAAAGCCAGGTCTGTGTTTCAAATGCTCAGCTTTGATGTAAGTGTAATGTGAAGTGGTTTTTTTTGAATGCGACCTGTTTTAAGGATAAAGACAGAAGTATAATATTTCTTTACAGCAATGTTAGCACAGACGTTTGCTGGGGTCATGGAACATCTTTATCTTGCAGCATCGCAGCAGCATGCTGAGTGGTGTTTGTTTATTGAGTTTGTTTTGGGTCTATAAAAACTTGCGTTTGACATCTTTTAGAGTTAAATTAATCTAGCAGCCAGGACTCCTCTTCAGTGTGATGCCCTGTTCTAGTGCAAATTATTTACTGTTTATTTATTCAAGAAGAAACTTGTTTGAACATCTCAGGCGTGCCAGGCCCTCTGCTAAGCATTAGGAACAGAGCACTGGGCCTCATAAAACTTACACACAACATTAAAGAAACCCCATTTCCTCACTGGTGATGGTTCTGTTGGAGAAATGTTGGTACCTGCTTGTAACAAAGTCTTACTTGGTGAACATACAAATCCTAAGTTCTATATTGGAAAAACTGTAGTTTCTAAAGTCCGTCATCTTCGTTGTTTGAACGGTGACACCATTCTGTATTTGCAATAATGACTTACTCCACAGTGTCCGTTCTACCCCTCTTTTGTTTCATGTTTTATAATATCAATTTGCTTTTCATAATTGATACATCCCCCAACGTGGTTTTAATTAATCTTAGCCCACCATGGAAGTTCTATCTTCCCTCTGAGAAGTTGTTCTAGAAGCCACAAGGGGAAGCAAAATGGTGCCTGGTGTTTCCCTGGGGCTGGTTATTTGTCCTGGGGTAGGTTCTTGTCCGACACTGGCCAATCAGATGAAGAGGAGAGACGTTTTTCCTCCACGGTCAGGTTAGGTCGCTGGAAGTAAACAAGCAAGCAGGTGCCAGCAGCAAGGCCAAACGGAGCAAGCTCCAGCGTGGTGTGGAGGCTGCGGCCAGCGGAGTAGGGGCAGGGAAGGGGCCCGGTCCGTGAGATGTCACGTGCCACTGAATCATCAGTTTTGAGGAGCTGCCCTACTCCCTGTTATGTTAGATAATAAATGTTCTTTACTTTTAGAAGTGATATGTATTATATATAATGTGTAGGTGATAAGTGCTTATTTTTTTTAAGGCAGTTTGAGTTGGAGGTCTCATCAGTCAGATCTGAAAGCTGACACACCCACCAAAAAACTCCTGAGTTGATACTTAAGGGAATAGTCTATCAAACAAAAACCAGCAAAGACTACAAAACCCATCCCGCTCACCCGTCTTCTCATGTCATTCTTACTTTAGAAAAGCAGTTCTTAAATCCGTAACACATTTATTATTTTTATCACCTGCTGATATCAATGTTCTAAGAGCAGCTCTTCTAAAAACCTTCGAGATTACCTGTCAGGTCCCTTTTCATATATTCCCAGTTGCAACTAAAGAGTTCATTATAAGCATCTTTGGAATGGGGCTAGAAGTATTTTGAACCAAGAACTGAAATGTTTTGCAGAGAGGCGTGTAGTGTGGGCCAACGGTCGAGGACTAACTGATGACTCTGGCTTCTTAGAGGGGCTGTTATGACACGACTGCAGTGGCCTTCGAGGCTGGTGGACATTGGCTTGAGTTCGGCAGTAATGGGTACAGCAGAGGGGACCGTGGCATTTCAGCTCAATCAGCAGTCCATTATTGATAAAGAAACTACATGTCTCAAGGTGCTGAGCTCTTACTGCATGTCAGGCAGTGTCCTGGGTAGCGCAGAAGCTTCAGACAAGAGTGAGACGCTCTCAGCCCTCAGATGCTATCTTGGAGAAGCCAGGGACGGTCCCGAGTTTGTAAATAACTGCAAGGAACCCAGGATGAGAGGTGGCCGAGCACCACACGGCGGAGATTCCAGAGACAGGATGTCTGTGGTCGGGGTGATCTTAGGTTTTCTGTGGAGAGTGATCTTTGAAGAGTTGGACGAATTTGCAGATTGAGAAAACTGGGCAAAGGATTGTTAAGTACAGCGGTCCACAGGTTAGGGCTTACGGTTTCACTGACACTAGGGCCAGATTACAAGTAGTGGCAGGAGGAAAGACTGAAAAGTTACATCAGCCCAACCAGAAAGGCCCCTGTATGCCTTGGTCCACAGCTCACGAGGCACTCGTGAAATGTTAAAAAGTTTTGGGTAGGATGGGCTAGGGTGGGGCATGTCTTAGGTTATACAGTTGTGCTAAAGCTCACGAGAGAGACGTGGAGTGGTGGAATCTACCCGATTTGGAAAATGCTTAGAAATGGTGGTCAGTTGAGAGGAAGGATTTGAAGACCGTGGCTTTGAATCTAGGTGTCTGGAAGAGGTGTTAGAAGTAGGGAGATGAGGAGCAGGAGCAACCTGGGGGACAAGATGTTAAGTTTTCCTCTGAAAATCTTTGAGTCTGAGATGTGGCAAGATATATGTCATGTAACCATAATTATAGCTCAAATATGCGTGTTGGATAAATATGACATAATTTTTTTAAAACCTCCTTAGTTTAGTTTTCTTTTAAGTTTCTGTTTTTGATAGTCCATATTTTTCCTGTTACTTATTTTAAAGAGCCAACCCATGAAACATTAAAAAAAAAAAAAAAACCAGACCAAACAGAAAATTGTTCCAGAAAGCAAATGACTTCATTTGGACAGTGTATACTGAGATAAATCTTTGCACCAGAACTTTAATCCCGCAGACCCTTAGTATAATCCCCAGAAAAATCGCACCCATTCTGAGTTTGTATGCCGTGAGCCAATTTATTTTCTCATGTACCAAATACTCAGTGAGTCAGAGAAAGCTGCCTGCAAAGTAGCTGACCATCAATGTTCGTCAAGAAAACAGTCTTGGGGCCTGGCAGCTGTCACCCCTTGGAGTTCAGGCCACCGAGAGCCCCTCTCACAAGTGAACACAGAAGGTTTTGCTGAATTTACCAAATAAGTACTCAGTGCTCCATCAGCTGCCAACCAGAAAGCAGAATGGAAGGACTGGAATTCCTCCTCTGAACGATGGGTGTTTGAAAAATATATTTGGAAGAGGAACGCCTCGCTAGGCACTTCTCTGTAGCCGGGAAGCTCCTGGGTACACACAAGAAGGGGGCTCTTCCCAGTAAATCTAGGGCTGGAGAAGTACAGTGGTTTTGCAGAAAGACAAACAGGAGAGAGCGGCAGGAACTACTGGAATCGTCAGCCATGGCAGCACGCAAAATGAAGGGTCTTATTAGAGTGGACGTGCCCCTCTTAAACGGTGAATGCAGATGGAGGAACAGGACAGGAGGGGGTTTCCAGCGCTGAGCAGGTGTCTCTCAGACAAGGATGTGCTTGCGATACCCACCCCCTGGAATGTGCATCAAAGCCAACAGCCCTGATTCTCCCATCTCTGCCAGAGGATCCTGGCTGGCTGTGTCACTGGGCTAACCGATATGGGTTAAATTCCAGTATAAAACAATAGCCCTGATCTTTGGCAAGAGTACCGCCCCCCCCCCCGACAAAGGCATGTTTGGATAAGAAGAGGGTGTAATAAGAGGAAGGCTGCAGTCCTTGAGAAATGGGAATGAAGCACGGATTCCTCGGGAGTGGAAACTGTGGTTTCTGCTTTTTTGGGTGTGCTTGGTTTCGTCACGTAGCCTAGGGCAGTACTCGGTCGACCACAAAGGCATGGACTTGTCTTGAATCACTAATGAAAATCACATCGCTGTTGGAAAATTAATTCAAGCATAGGTCCAGCTGATGGTAGGTTAGTAGTATTCAACCTAACAAAGATCTCTTGAGCACCTAGTATTGATATGATTATCCTTTCATTCAATAAATATGTATCAGGTGGATGCTGTCTGTCAGGGTAGAGTTCTAGGAGTGACCTTGGAAAACCAAATAATGGATGAAGTACCTTCCCTCAAGGAGCTATAGTCTAACTCAAGACACCTTGTTAGACACCGGGGAACCCCAAAGACTCATAGCCTTCCGGAATTGCTTCTGATGGAGCTGGAGAGATGTGACGTAGCAGCATGAAAGACAAGCCCTACTTCACAGCGTAAGATGGCACTTGAGAAATGCCAGGTGACCCATGTACATCATAGGAATTCAGAGGAGGGGACATTAGAGAAGGCTTAATGGACTAGATGAGAACAATCAATAAACAGCACAGAAGAAAACATCCCTTTTTGAATGGCAGTGGTATCAAATGTTGAAGTGAGAAAAAAATTCAGTGCTCATAGGAATGTCATGGACCTATATGTCCATTGATAGCAAGGCAGCTCTATATTGGGGGTTTGTGAAGCTCTGAGTTACAGTTGTTCCCTTTATGTTTATATTAAAGATCATGTAATTTTAATAACTGTGCCTTATTCAGTAAAATATCTTGGTGCAATCTTGTGTTTGAGAAGGGCTGTAACTAGCTTTCCCCTTTTATACTTAGAAATAGCCACTGGCTTCAGAGGAGCACGCACACTCAGGTTCCCGTGGATTCATGAGAAGTTGCAGTTGAGTTTATTCTGAGGAATGTGTTACATAAACACGCGCATCCCCTCAACTCTGGTTGATCAATAGAACTGAAGGGACTGGATTTGCTTATATAACCATTTCCTAACAGGCTCACTATGACACGCACACATCCTGGAGGGCAGATGCAGAGGGGCGAGGGTGGGAGGGGTGGATGTGGTAAACTTGAGGATTGAAAGAGGCTGCCAGATCCTTTATTAACTTCTAGCCATGCTTCCCTCTTCTTTCTGCTTTCCTGAGGGCCAGTGACTCACTCAAAGGAGCACAGAAGCCATGGACG